AAGGAAGGAAGGAAGGAAGGAAGGAAGGAAGGAAGGAAGGAAGGAAGACCATACCAGAAGAAGGCAGTGGCAAAACACTTCCGTAACTCTGTTTGTTGCGTTGTGGGAACAAAGACTCGAGACCCAGTTGATCTTTTGTTCTCTTTATTCTCTCTAGAACTGAACGTCGGCGGAACCGCAGCAGCCTTTCTTATAGCGGACTGCTCGCGGCTCGTGGCCAATGACAGCTCTTCAAATTTCCCTCCGTCCGGACCAACCTATCCAAGGTGAATATGCAAATATATAACACCCCTCCCCATGTGGTCCAGTCCAACCAATCAGGCCTCCCCTATGTTACATAGTCACGTAAATAGGTGGGGCTCTTATGGGTTCAACTGGACCTGCGCAATTCAGTCGGGGTCTTGTCTCCGGACTGTTCGGACGGGTTTGCTGTTTCTCTCGTTCTCTTCCGCAGAACCTCCTGGAAGATAGAGTCAGCCATGCCGCTCCCACCTGGCCTTTCCGGGCTGGTTGAGTTGGCTCAGCCGCTCCCTCCAAGAGTGGCTTTGTGATGGTTTTCCGAAGCCTGCTCCAGTCTTTCAAAGTTATCTTCTTCTTTTATGGTTTCAGGTATGTGATTGCGACTTCCGATCGGGGCTAATGTTAGTATTGGTTGTTGTATCGTTGTTAGGGTTTGTTTTGTTACTTCTCGTGCTTGTGGAGGGTCTCCCCCTCCCCTCTCGTTTGTGTTTGAGGGGTCTCCTCCCTCTCTGATTTGGTTATTTTTGTTTAATATTTGAGGTGATTCCTGTTTTTGTGTAAGTTCTTCCCATTCTTCCCCCTGATTGTTAGTGTTTCTCAGTGTGGCCCTCGATCTGAGTTGGTCTATGTGTCTCCTCCAGCTCTTTCCATCCTCTGTTTCTACCCTGTATGACCGGGGTCCTGTTATTTGGGTTATTGTTGCCGGCATCCACAATGGTTCCCCCGTGAGGTTTTTTGCATAGACTAAGTCCCCTGTTTTGAATGTGCGGCACTTACTGGAGGAGTCTGTTGGCTTTTCAGGGCTATATGTGGGATGTAGTCTGTCTAGGTTAGATCTTAGTTTTCTTCCCATTAATAGTTCTGCTGGGCTTTTATTTGTTGTGGTGTTTGGTGTAATGTGTTGTATACTTAGTAGCTTATATATCTTTTATTTTATTTATTTATTTATTTATTTGATTTATTTGATTTGCCAATTGTTTACAAGATAATAAGTATAAGTGTATACATAGTTGTGAATACATGAAATGGGTACATATAAGAAAAATAAAAGAATAAGAGAAACAATAGGACAGGGACGGTAGGCACGTTGGTGCGCTTATGCACGCCCCCTACAGACCTCTTAGGAAAGGGGTGAGGTCAATAGTAGACAGTCTAAGGTTAAAGTTTTTGGGGTTTGGGGAAGAAACTACAGAGTCGGGTAGAGTATTCCAGACATTGACCACTCTATTGCTGAAGTCGTATTTCCTGCAATCAAGTTTGGTGCGGTTAACTTTGAGTTTGTATCTATTGTGTGCTCTTGTGTTGTTATGGTTGAAGCTGAAGTATTCATTGACAGGTAGGACATTGCAATGTATGATTTTATATACCATGCTTAAATCAGACCGAAGACGGCGTAATTCAAGGTTTTCTAGTTCTAGAATTTCAAGTCTGGTGGCATAAGGTATTCTACAACAAGTAGAGGAGTGGAGAACTCTTCTTGTGAAATATTTCTGGACTTTCTCAATTGTGCTAATATCAGATACGTAATGTGGGTTCCAGACTGATGAACTGTATTCGAGTATTGGTCTAGCAAATGTTTTGTATGCTCTGGTTAGTAGTGTGATATTACCAGAGAAAAAGCTACGTAGGATTAGGTTAACAACTCTTAATGCCTTTTTGGCTATGTAGTTGCAGTGGGCTCTAGCACTTAGATCATTAGAGGTGAGTATTCCAAGGTCCTTTACAGAGCTTGGGTCATCAACAAGATCTTGACTATTCAGCTTGTATTTTATTTTCTGATTTTTTTTTGCCAATATGTAAGACAGAGCATTTATTTGTTGAGATTTGAAGTTGCCATTTGTTTGACCATTCTGATACATAGTCAAGATCTTTTTGTAGGGTAGCAGTATTGTCTGTGGTATTGAACAGCTTTACATCATCAGCGAAAAGAACGCAATTGCTCTTAATATGATCACAGAGGTCATTTATGTAGAGTATGAAGAGAGTTGGTCCTAGAACACTGCCTTGGGGGACACCACTATTGACAGGTACAGAATTTGATAGGACGCTCCCAATTTTGACCATTTGTTGTCTGTTTGCCAGGAATGCTTCTATCCAGTTATTCAGTTGTCCAGAGATACCATAGGATTTTATTTTTAGGAGTAGTTTGTCGTGTACCACTGAATCAAAGGCTTTACAGAAGTCTATGTAGATTGCGTCTATTGCTTTGCCCTGGTCGAGTTGTGTCGTCCATATGTTTTTGCAGTGTAAGAGTTGCAGATTACAGGATAGTTTTTTTCTGAAACCAAATTGTTTATTGGAGAGTAGGTTGTTTGTCTCTAAGTGGAGGATGATGGATTGGTTAATAATTGATTCCATGACTTTACAGGTGACGCAGCATAAGGAGATTGGTCTGTAATTTTCAACTACGCTTGGGTCTCCCTTTTTGAAGATGGGGATGACTGTGGCTTGTGACCATAGGTTAGACAAGGAGCTGGTCCTGAAAGATTTTTCAAAGATTATGCTTAGAGGTTTGGCTATGGCAGTGGATAGCTTTTTTAAGAAGTAGGTACATATTCCATCCGGTCCAATAGATAGAGATGGTTTTAGATTGCGTAGTGCTTTTTCAACATTGTCTTCTGTAAAATCGATATGTATTAGATCATTGTTGTTATCTGTGGTACGGCTAGGAAATACTGGGCATGATCCATTGCTGTTTACAAATACTGAGCCGAAGAATGTGTTAAAGATGTTGGCTTTAATGGTGTCGTCGTTGCAGTCTTTACCATCAGGTCCTATCAAGGGTGGGATAGACCTTGAGTCTTTTAGTTTGTTGTTTACAAAATTGTAAAAAGCACGGGTGGAATTGGTGCTTAGAAGGTTTTCCTCTTGTTTAATGTGATAATTGATGCATTCGGTCTTTATCTGGTGGCATAAATTTTTGTATTTCCTGTATATCTCCAGTTCCCAATTTGTGTAGAGTTTCCTTAGTATAACGGATCATGCATTCCGCCCGTCCGTTCGTAGCCAGCTGACCCGGCGCTGTTAGCGCGTGCCTTATCCCTTGTTCGGCTAGGAACCTCTCAAATGTTAGTGCCGTGAATTGCGGTCCGTTGTCAGATACAACTAAATCCGGCAATCCATGTGTTGTAAAAAGCTTCCTTAGTTGTCTAATAACAGCTTCTGTTGTGGTTGAGTGCATAATGCTTACCTCTAGCCAATTTGAGTAAGCGTCTACCACTATTAAGAACGTGTGTCCTTTAGTTGTCCTGAAAAATCAATGTGTATCCTAAACCATGGGCCCCTAGGTGTTTCCCAGTCGAGTACAGGTGCAGAAGGGGGTGCAGGTCTAGATTCTTGGCATCATTTGCACATTGCTACCCATTCCCCAATATCCTTATCCAACCCTGGCCACCATACATAACTCCTAGCCAGGGACTTCATTCTGACAATA